AAATGAATTAAAGTTCTATTTTACGAGAGTGGGCTGAAAAGTTCAATGGCTGACTATGAAGAAGTGAGCTGTGAAATCTTGCTGGCACTCATTTCAACACTTCTTATTAATAACTACATTGTTTCTTTCCAGGTACGAGGGTGGGATAAAAAGTTCATAGGCTGACTATGAAGGAGTGATGCTAGAGCTGTGAAATCTTGCATACAATGGTTTCGACTATTATTATTAATAAATGCATTGTTTCTTTCCAGGCACGAGGGTGGGCTGAAAAGTTCATAGGCTGACTATGAAGAAGTGAGGCTAGAGCTGTGAATTTTTTTCAGGCATTAATGTTTCCGGTCAATGGGCCATAACTTGCCTGTAAGTACGAAATTGGTTCTCAAGGTTCCATTCTGGAGAACTGTCATTAAAATATTTATCAAGAATTCATCAAAGTACAATGACAACGCTCTAAGGTCATTCGTAGAAATCAATCCACGGAAAAGTACTCGGTAAGTGGCAAAGATTTTAGATATATCAGAATCTACCATATGACATTTCGAAATAAAATATAGGAACAGTCAACCAACAAGAAGCTGTTAAGGGTGACAAAGGACAGGAAGTTGTGAAGAGCGATGGATGGTTTAAAGGTTCTGAAGGGACATGGCACATAGAAAAATAATATTATCAAGAAATAGCTATTTATATATATATATATATATATATATATATATATATATATATATATATAAAACATGAAACATTAGGCAGCATATATCTATATACAAAGAAATGCATACATGATATTCTACTAGCGATGTGATATCGCCAATAATAGCATTAATATTGCTGATTGATTCTATGCGTGATTATTTCTTTGTATATATATATATATATATATATATATATATATATATATCCCAGGCTTTTGGAATGAACAAAAACGAATGAAAATAAAAGACAAATATATTTTTTACATAATAAAAAAAACATTTATTCATTTACTGCCTGAGAACAGCAAGGATTTGTTTGGATTTAAATCATGAGTTCCACTTGCGTATCAGTTTGACGCCATGTTCAATTCAGAAGTGCCGCGTTGGTCTTCCAGACAAGGGACGTAACCCAATTGTATTTTGAATTATCGTCCTTTGTAGGGAAAGCAAATTAGCTTCCCCAAACAATAAGTTTATAAAAAAATGTTTGCAAATAAGAGAACAATAATAATTTAAATAAAAAAAAATATCTAGAAATGTTGAAAATAAACATTTATTGGGCATTTCTTTCATTTGCTCCCGTCCACGTAAATTCAATAAAAAAACGTTAATGCGCATCCGGTTTTATACATTTTTTTTTCGAGAACTGACAACAAAAATGTTAGATATTATTTATTTATTCTACTTCTTTATGTATCGTATCCACTCAGAAGGTAGGCGATCACGGCTCTCCACAACTTACTGGTCCTATTTATTTATTAAACTGTTTAATTCCAAGTATAGCGTTTAATACTTTTGTTGTCAGTTCTCGAGTAACAAAAAAGAATGCGCAAGTTTCATTTTTTTCAATCGCATCCCCCCCGCCAAGCAAGTCGGTAATACCACTAGGACGTAGGGGTAATGGTTGCTACAGGGAGTGAAAGATAACGAGAAGGATTTAGTGGGGATGAATGAGGAAAGCACAAAAAAGGAACAGGGTTAAAAAAAAAAAAAGAAAAGAAAAGATGGTGATTGACGTTTCATTTAAATTTTGAAAGATTGTAGTTATCAGGTAAGCAAGAAACCGGAAGGGAATTCCACTGCTGGGAAGTGCTAGAAAAGAAACTGTTAGAATAGAACTGACGGTTGCATCTAGCTCGTTCAACAGTAAAAGGGTGGGACCTAAATGCCAATCTAGTAGCACGCTTAAATTCATATAGTCGCGGCACCAGGGAAAAAAAATCTTCAGAGCCGTTACTATTTAAATATTTGTAGAAAAGATAGTGGGAAACTATCGGTGAACAAGTGACAAGTCCAGAAACCAAATCAGGATTACATTACTGATCCTTCTTTGGATTTTACCAAGAAACTCCAGATATCCAGTAAGAGCAACAGACCAGATATGGCAGCAGTATTCAATGCAGGGACCTTAAGTAGATTTGTAAATGTGCAAGATGGAATTTAACGTGAAAATTTTCTTGGCACGACACAAAACTCCAAAATTATCCAACAATTATCTGTTTTTTAAAGAATTTCCAAATCAATGCTTTTTAACAGAAAAAGACGCCTAAAGTCCTCACACAAATTTATGGTTCCAATTTGACGCCATAAAAGCAAGATTTTTAATCAAAACGTCGAAGGTTCTAAAAAGGATTGACAAATATAATTTCCGCATCAAAAATCCTTCAGACTTTCCTTCTTAATAAAAAGCCAGGAACAATAGACCAGATATAGCTGTAGTATACAACGCAGGGACGAAGAGCAGATTTGTAAATGTGCAAGATGAAATCTAACGAGAAAATTTTCTTGGCACGGCACATTGACCCAACTTTCCTTGCAGTAGATGCAACTATTGATTCGATGTAGTCGCTCCATTTCAAGTTACTGGAACATATCAGGCCCAGAAGGCGTAGTGTGTTGCTCTCCTGGAGTCTATCGTCTGCCATGCTGATGGCAGCCAGAAAAGGTATTGCATGGTGTTTATAATATAATGAGTAAACACTGTGCAATATGTGGAATTTAAAAAAGGAAGTAAAAATTAAAATTTCTTTCTCGCCCTGATAAATACCAGTCATTTCGTTAAGCAGTTGTCATGTGAGTTTTTATTTGCAATTACTAATTCTTTGTACTCGAGTTGCATATCTAAAATTTAATTCTTGAACATATATTTATAATGACGGCTTTTAAGGCTTGGCCTTTAATAAGCTGAGTTTCGTGAGTCGATTACGCCGGGATTGAAACCACATGAGTGTCAGCCATTTTCAAGGCAGAGGGCTTATATCATTTAAAGTGACGGATTAACTGCCACCTTCCCGCTAGGTGGAGCTTTAGTACGTTTTTCTCTTGAAATCATCGTACATTGAATAAAGTGAACACACGTTAAATAGTTTAGATTGTTGTATTATATTTTGTACACACACATTATTTCTTATTATATATTTAGTGGATGCACGTGTTTAAGTAGACGTTCCTTTTTGAAACAGTGTAAATTTGCTTCTACCGGTCTGTTCGAGTAAGGAAAACGAGCCTTCTGGTAGGGTTCCAACCTGCCATTTCCTTGTAGGGAAAACCACAGTTAAGACCGGCGTAGTTTTAGACCACTCAGCCACGCAGGGCTTTCACAGTTGAGCAAAGTCCAGTTAATCTATTTAAGAAATGCACACCTCTTGAATCACTTGAAGCCCATGTCAGCTAAATTTTATTTTCGTATCCGAAACAATGTAATTTCAAAAGAATTAAATGATTTTATTTATAATCCGACACACACACACAGACACACACATGAACACACATGAACACACACGAAGACGCTTGTTGAAGAAATTATTTAAATTCTCCGAGGACTTGTTCTTATAACTAATATAAACATTAAGCGCTACAATCAGCAGTGCGCATCCACTCGTCGTACCAACTGTTCCAACGGGCCGCCACGGCCGACCAGTGCTTTCTGCATTCTGTTGAGGGTTCTTCTAGACTCGATGAATTACTTAATTATAATTATCTCAAATCCTCCTAATTTCTATCACTTATATATCCTTGCTTGAACCGGCTTCTAATGCTCTGGATGAAGCGGCTTGGGGGATATTAGTCGTGGCTCGTAGGGTCACAGTCCTATGGGTAAAAGAGAAACTCGGATGAGTTCCACCACGGAATATGTGATCGAGCGACGTTATATCGAGCTTGATTCGCTACCCCTTCGTCACTGAAACCCGTTGGCGCAGTGGGTATGACCTTTGCTTGATAACGTAACTGTCTGGGTTTCAGTTCTCGGTAGTGGATGCGCAATGCTGACGAGTCCCAAATATAGGGCGAAACGGCCGTCCAGTGCTTTCTGTTGAGGCTTCTTCTAGACTCGATGAATTACTTAATTATAGTTCTGAGTGTTGATTTCAATGTTCGCCTTTTATATAGGCTCTATCTCTTATATTGAGCTCTTTATCCCGTAAATATAGCACACTTTAAAACTATATTTCTTCCTATGTATAATGTGTATATATATGCAATTTTTATATATATTATACTTATTGGCTAACGATATAATTATAGTACTTATTGGCTAACGATAGCAAAGGGCGTGAAAGCCAGGGTCAAAAAATCACATCAAACCAACTATATATATATATATATATTTTTCTAAATAAATCCACATTATAACCAAAAACGTTTGCGGCACCTCTCTTCTCTTCTTTTTAATATACATACTTTTCTCTCGTTGGAACCACTACAACATATTTCTTTTATATATATATATATATATATATATATATATATATATATATATTTTGAATAAAAGACAGACCACGTTAAGATTCCATGTAATAAGCTATTTCACCATAACCATAATGTCATTTCAGCTTTTGGAAGTAAAGTCTGATGACCCAGAACCCTGTAAAAGGGGTTATGGTGAAATAGCTTATTACATGGAATCTTAACGTGGTCTGTCTTTATTCAAACATATCTGCTCTGAATTTTACATTGAGCTCTCTGGATATCATCCTCCTCAGGTCTACCCAGACGGATTACCTAAATTTGCATAAACTAAATATATATATATATATATATATATATATATATATATATATATATATATATATATATATATATATATGTTTATACGTTATTTTTATAGATATAATTCATTTAAGTAAATGTACTATATCTTAATTAAACAGTATTAATTACATTTACCGGCCTGAATGTTAAAAGGAATTTCGGTCACATCACCTTGAAAAACCGGTTCTCATAGTTAAGAAACGTCGAGCCTGGTCAGTACCTAGATGAGTGACCTCTTGCTGTGAGTTGGGAAGTGCAGGATGCATAAATAGCTTATGGCTACATCACGTTGAAACACAGTTTCTCGTACGATCACCAATATTAAGCAACGTCGAGCCAGGTCAGTACTTAGATGGGTGACCTCTTGGGTGTACCCAGTGCAGTAAGTTTGGATGTATGGATGGTCGTATAAAAAAAAAAGATTACGGACACATCACACTGAAACACCGATTACCGAAGTTAAGCAACGTTGAGCCTGGTCCGTACTTAGATGGGTGACCGCATGTGAATACCAGGTGGTGTAAGTTTGGATGTGCGGAATGCATAAGTGTCTTACGTTCATATCACGTTGAAACACCGGTTCTCGTACAGCCACCAATGTTAAGCAACGGCGAGCCTGGTCAGTACTTAGATGGGTGACCGCTTGGGAATACTCAGTGCTATGAGTTGGGATGTACGGGTGGTATAAAGGGATTACTGGCACATCACCTTGAAACACCGATCACCGAAGTTAAGCAACGTTGAGCCTGGTCAGTACTTAGATGGGTGACGTGAATACCATGTACTGTAAACTTAGATGTACGGGAGATATAAAGAACTTACGCACATATCATATTGAAACACAGGTTCTCGTACGATCACCGAAATTAAGCAAGGTCGAGCCTGGTCAATACTTAGATGGGTGACCGCTTGCGAATACCAGGTACAGTAAGTTTAGATGTGAGGGCGGTATAATGGACTTACGGCCATATCACATTGAAACACCGTCTCTGGTACGATCAGCAAAGTTAAGCAACGTTGAGCCTGGTCAATAACTAGATGGGTGCCTGCTTAGGAATAAAAAGTGCTGGAAGTGCGGGAAGTATAAAGTGTTTACGGCCGTATCACATTGAAACACCGCTTCTGGTACGATCACCAAAGTTAAGCAACGTTGAGCCTGGTCAATAACTAGATGGGTGCCTGCTTAGGAATAAAAAGTGCTGGAAGTGCGGGAAGTATAAAAGTGTTTACGGCTGTATCACATTGAAACACCGCTTCTGGTACGATCACCAAAGTTAAGCAACGTTGAGCCTGGTCAATAACTAGATGGGTGCCTGCTTAGGAATAAAAAGTGCGGGAAGTATAAAGTGTTTACGACCGTATCACATTGAAACACCGTTTCTGGTACGATCACCAAAGTTAAGCAACGTTGAGCCTGATCAATAACTAGATGGGTGCCTGCTTAGGAATAAAAAGTGCGGGAAGTATAAAGTGTTTACGGCCGTATCACATTGAAACACCGTTTCTGGTACAATCGCCAAAGTTAAGCAACATTGAGCCTTGTCAGTAACTAGATGGTGTCTGCTTGGGAATTCCAGGTGCTGTAAGCTTGGATATGCGGATGTTGTAGTGCCTAATGCCTTGAAATTCGGAATCGGCTGCGCACATTTATACATGAAGAATTTTAAAAAGAAAAATAAACAATTTTAGAAACGACTTACCTTCAAGAAAATGACTGTATGTTCCAAACGAGAACTCCGGTTACTTTGTTTTTTTTAAAATTAGATTCCGGTCGAATTAATGGATGTTGTGACTCCTTAAAGAAACGACTTCATATTTATATCGTGTGAGTTTTCATATACAAGTTCGCCGGCTTCTGCTGTCAGTGGCGGGAAAGTTCAAACGTTAACTCCAAGACAAATGTTAAACCAAGTGTTTCAATGCAGTTAATGTTTGCTTTATCTTCAGAACTGTTGTTAACCAAACATGGAAAGATAAGCTTAATTGTTGAATTTATCCAGTTTAGTCGATTTATTTGTTTTATAAAACTATGTGGTGAAAACTCTTGGCAGCAGACAACACAATTTAACGCAAAGCACAGCAAAGAGGTAAAAGTTCAGCAGCAATCTCCATTAGTTTTTTGGTGGTGGACATAAAAATATTTTACAAATTAACAGTGGTGACTTGTCCCTTGAAGTAAATCTCAGAAGTGGACGAGCATCACCTGCTTCAAAAGACTCAAAGTAGATAGGAATTGGTCCACCAGAACTGGAAAACTAAGTAAAACTTAAAGCAGAGATAAATGAAATAAATTAAAAAAAAAAACAATGTTGCTCTCCAGAGACGAACAATGGAGATTACATTTGATACAGCCTCATATGCTCGTCAAGAATATTACGTGTAAGGTACAGTGGGTTCAAATGAAACTATTCACAAGTTCTTACAAACATATCTATGTATATTTATATACATAGAGATGGGCATCAAATGACTATTTACTGAGCAATGTGGTTCAATCTCATAAGGGTTTGATAGAAAGCCTTATTAAAGAAAATGTTACTCTTGGATTTTTCTTCAAATAGACTTTCTATATCTAGGCCAGTGGATAGTAATTATTTCTCCTTCGGAAAAAAAGTGTGGATATCGATTCAAACACGTTAATACACTGAAATAGCGCTCATTAACTATTTTAATATATATATATATATATATATATATATATATATATATATATATATATATATATATATACACACACACACACACACACACACACACACACACACACACACATATATATATATATATATATATATATAAAAGATAAGATAAAGAACAAGTATGAAACTTTTAGCAACCTAACACTTTTATTAAAGGTTTATCGGAGATAAAGTAAAAGTTGATATTTCTGTGTATCGATCTGATCACACATTTTCTATCTATCTATCTATCTATCTATCTGTTGATATTTCTGTCTATCGATCTGGTCACATCTCGCTTATCTCTCTCACTCACCCTCTCTCTCTCTCTCTATTTATCTACGTGGGAACTAAAACGTTTGTAATCTGATATACTTGTCAGGTGAATATCGATTTAAAATTTTCACTATGATATTAGATCAAGCAGGGTGATTATTAGAGAGATATTGGATTAAGTGCGGTGACAAGAAATAAATTTGTTTTATAAAAATGTTCCTTCATCATTCTGTCATTGATGGTCTTACTAATTGTTATAGTGGAACACACCTATTGGAGCATTATAAAGTACAAGCTCTCGAGAAAGCAGTTGAGCAACATACTCCATAAGTTTTCTATGGGGTTGAGGTCAGGAGATTGGGGCGCCCATGTCATAACACTCACCTGCTTCTCATCAAAGTATTCCTTCATCAATTTTGATTTGTGACAGGGAGCATTATCTTGCATAAAAATGAGCTTGGTGGGTGTTGATTTGCACCCTTTCAGCAGAAGGGAGCAGACAAGACTCTAAAATTCTCTTGTACTGCTCGCTCCTGAGGGTCTTTCAATAGGTTTTAAGAAACCAGTTCCATGAAAAGAAAAGCATCCCCAGAACATTATACTGAACGGATTCTTGACAGTACCAAGTGCTAAATTCAAAGAGCTTTCAAAGCTTCTTCTTCGGATTTTTAGATCGCTTATCCTTTTAATTTAGCTCAAATTTCGTTTCATCGGAGAAGAGAACATTTAGTAAAAAAATCAGGTGAGTCACTTTTATCGAACAGTGCTGTACTTACTTTTTTGTCAGAGATAAAATCTCCCAAAGGACAATTAAACGAATATACAATGTTAGTCTTTTCCAAAACACAAATTGACGGGGAAGAGTTATTGCGTATGATTATGTTGGTTTTGTTAAAGTTAGTATAATATATAATTAGTCGTATTTTTTTTTTCTGGGATCAGTGTGGGGGGATATATTAGGGCCTGTGAGATATTTTAGGATTTTTTCATTTTCATTATAGTTAGAACGCATTTGATTGTGGTATATTCAGTTGATATGAGGAAGTATTATGTTGTTTTTGATATATGCTAATATTTGTAATGGTTCGTCAAATTTGTTCATCAACGATGTAATTAGGAAAGTCATTATTAAGGAGAGTGTGCGTAATTATTAATAGATGTGTATATACTCATGTGTCCTTTTTAGTTGTATTCAATGCTGTGCTTTTCTCGGTCGAGCTTTGTAGAGAGAAGAACGAGAACCGGTCAGCGTTTTCTTGGGCTTTCTCTCTTTCTCTCTTACACGCTCTCTGTCTCTCGCACACACACACACTCTCTCTCTCTCTCAATTATTCTCTCTCGCACTCATTCTATCTCACTCACTCTCTCTCTTCAACTCTCTCTCTCAAGCTCTCTCGCTCTAACTTTCTCACTCGTTGTCACTCTCACACTCGCGCTCTCTTTCATTCACTCACTCACTCACTCACTCACTCACTCTCATTATTAAGTCATTATTAAGGAGAGTGTGCTTAATTATTAATAGATGTGTATATGCTCATGTGTCCTTTTTAGTTGTATTCAATGCTGTGCTTTCCTCGATCGAACTCTGAAGAGAGAAGAACGATAACTGGTTTAAATGGAGATATGATACATACAAAAATACATACATACATATATATATATATATATATATATATATATATATATATATGTATACACGCACATACGCATACACTCACACACACACACACATATATATATATAATATGAAATGCTCAAACACTAATATCCTATGGTTATAATTTATAACATATATATATATATATATATATATATATATATATATATATATATATAATATAATAATATCTTTTGTTTAAAAATATGATTCCTTCGCTACATAAGAGTTCTCATCAATCATCCAAATAATTATTAAAATTAAGTTGAATTGTGGTGTTTAGTCAAGCGAAATTTTAGGAATAAGCTATCTCTCAGTTTACGTGTATTTTTAGGCACGGTCCGTTACAGAATTCGTTATTGTGGGAGTGGCTAGACTATTTTCCTTCGTTAAGTGGTCAGAGAGTTCATTCTTATCAATAGATTCATCATCTTCTGTGAGGTTTTGCTAAGGTTGGGTAGGATATCTATTTCAAGGCTAAATAGTGTTCTTTTCTATTTTCTGCATACCTACGCACTTATATATATATATATATATATATATATATATATATATATATATATATATATATTTATATTTCCAATTTCTTTTTGAATTTGTAGGTCTGATGAATTGGATCGCAATTACGATTCCAATGTAATAAATTATAACTATGGAATATTTATGTTTGAGCTTTTTATATTATATTCTTACTCTGTCCTGGACATTGAGTTCTACCTGGATTCTATCCTCTTGGGAATTTATGAATATATATATATATATATATATATATATATATATATATATATATATGCACATTTCATTGAATACGACAGACAAGATGTTTTGGTTTAATTTTTTATACAATTTCTCATGCGATTTAATAATCTATAATTTATAGTTTTTATATAAGTTATTATCTGAAAAGAAAAAATATTTGATCCCATGAAAAAGTGTATAAAAAACTAAATAAAAGCACCTTGTCTGTCGTATTCAATGAAATGTGCATGAAAGAAGGATTGCAGCCTAAACACACACACATACACACACACATATTAAGTTGGTGCATAATTATCAGGCGTTTTGTATGCGAGTTATTTGTTAATAAAAATTGCTGTTTTGTTTCCTTTTTTTTAAATAAAAATATTTTATTTTCTGGTTTAAAAATGCCTGTCGATAATCATGGGCTACGGAATAATCATTTAAAAATGTTATTGTTGAATTGTTATGTTTCTTTTTTCATAATAAATATTATTTTAAAAAACGCCTGATCATTATGCACCAACTCAATACTACATATAAGGTGGCAAGTATTATATTTTTTGAAATTCGTTCTATG